TCCTATCCTTCTGGCCAACTCTCCAACACAGACTGTTCCTAGGACTTCAGGGACACTGACTTTCCAAGAAGCATTCCTTAGAAATTGAATAACCCCGGACTGCTCAAACTTTGTTGCATCGTAGCTTTGAGATCATAGCTGTTTTATAGTTTATCAATGTAAAAAATGTCCTTAGCCTAGTTCATTACCTGATATCTTCTCATTTTACCACGAAGGCAAGGCAAGATCAAGAATATTTTTTTGTTGTGTAAGGAGGGATGAACAGATGACGGACAGATACTGACGACAGCTGGATGTTACCAAACAGTATCTGGATAGTGTAGACAGTGAATGATTACATTCAGTGCATACAGTCCTGTCTTGTTTGTAATTCATGTTGTGAGTGGCGAAAATAGTACATTTTTCAAATTGTGGACAACAAAAGTTCCTTCTCATAAAGCAGAGTTTAGACCACAAAATGTACTCACGTCACCATGGAAAGACCTTTCTGGAAACTGCACCAATAGTAACAAAAAATTACATTACAGATATTAATTATTTAAAGGGGGGAATACTGTGGGCCAGCTTGTAAGGGGACAGTACAAAATGATAGCAGTCTGGTTTTAATATAGCTCTCTAAAAGATAGCTGCTTTGGCAGCTGCAGTGATTTGTTTGATAGTTGCTGCAGTGTCCTGGCTGTCAGAGATGGCAGATGCAGGCCAGACACAGCCTGACAAAGAGAAAATGTAAAGGAGAGAACAAATACTAATAATCATATTTGTGTCTCTCCCAGCAGAGGTGTGACTGTGTGTGAGTGAGAGAGAGGGAAAGAGGGAGAGAGAGAGAGGGGGATGCACTGAAACAGAAATAGAGGGAGAGAGAGCTGTGGGCTATGGTAGCTATGCTGATTAAAAATGGCACAGCGCAGCAGAAATCTACTGTCACTTTGACACTAATACATGCAGCAAGTACTGCTCCCTGCATAGATTTACCACTGAACTGCACGTATAGTACTGCTTTCACTGCCGTGAAATGCATTTCAAGCATTAGCTTACACAGGCTATCTAAAATGATTGCAGTACACCTTCAGATGTTAAAAGCTTGGCCTGATAATTAACTGAGATATCAATCACATATTAGAGCAGCACATGTTATGAATCTAGGAGACCCCTCCCATACTGATCCAACCGTCCTCTTCCACATCACATGATGCAAATGACTGTGATTAAATGTAATTGAATATAGGAATGAATGGTGCCTGTATAATGCCATTAGAAAGTGTGCTTGGGGCCCAGACTGGGCTAATCAAGAGCCATGTCATTAGTTTGAGGAGAAGAGGGGGAAGAGCAGTGCAAGAGGGGTGGAGGTGAACAGGCGTGGGGGACCGCTGAGGAGATCATTGACATTGACGTCAAGCAGTCTGCTCAGGGAGGTAAACCTTTGTAAACACACTGATAAAGATATCTCTTCATAAGACAAAATTGCCTTTTTTATTTATCACTCTTATCTCTCTGGTGAGACAAGCAACCACCCTCTTTCTATTTAGCCCGATCTTATTTTTAATAAACACTTTGTTTACTATTTGTCATTCAAGCATACTATAATGTAACTAGCTATAATACAGGTTAGGTTCACTATGCTGGGGGACTGTAAATCACATTTTATGGATAAAGTATTTGCACATATGAATGTAAACAATCCTGAAACCACACAAAGAACACCACTCCCACAAGCACACAGTGGGAGCTCACAGACAAACATAGGTTACATGCACTATAAATATGGTTATATAGTAATAGTATATGATGCATATAACCTAAAGTAAACAATGCAGCAACATAATGATCCTGACTACTGCGTACACAATTTCATGGTTTATCTTTCTCCACCCAGTGTGCTACCCTGACGCAGTCTCCCTACCAGCCACACCAAGCCATCTATCTGGATTAAATTATGTATTCCCCTGCCCTCGCCACATGAGCTGCATAACAAACTGCCTGGCACTGTGGTGTCCTTTTGTTTCCCACTCAGATAGAGCAACCTTTTAACAGTGTCATTAATATTACGTGGTTCACTGATTACTGTGAGCAGTTAATTTATATATGAGCACCACTAAAAAGAAGTTATTTAATTTTGCTGTACACGCGTTCAAATCCTGGATTAGGTGGTGTTTAAGTGGGTGTTTCTTCACAATAGATACATTTTTTAAAAAAGGTGCCCACTGACTCACCCTGACAATGTAAGAGGCCCCTGGTCCTGCAATCTTCTTGTCAGGGTGCAGCCAGCCTTGAGAGGGTTTGTGGATGAAGCTACCTTTCTGGATGAAGTCCTCTCCCCCTGGCCACATGCCTTCCACCCTTGTCCTGCGGTTCAGTCCTGACCTGGAGCTGCTGGAAACCCCAGGGCTCGCCATTGCCTCTGTGGCCCCAAACCCGTGGCCCCCTGGACTGGCAGAGTTTGCAGCTGCAACTGCTCTCTGCCCTCGAATGGCCTGCAAGGAACAGGGGGTGACACAAACAGGGTCACAGGAGTTAAGCACTGCTGCGAGACTGGCCACTGGGCCACTGGCTGAGGTCGCACCACTGGACCGGTGTGATGATGAAGAATGGGAGACAGAGGCCTGGGAAGAGGCTGCTGCTGTTTTGCCCGAGTCCTTGCTAGAGCTAGAGCTGGAGCTGGAGTTGGACGGGCTCCGGCTGAGTAGGGAGTTAGAGAACTTCCACTGGGGCATCTTAGGGATGAGCATGCAGAAGGTAGTGGTGGCATCTTGATCCCCATCCAGGCAAGGGGAGTCGGCCAGGGCTGCAGCCCCAGCAGAGGAGGATGATCTGGCACTGGGATCCAGAGGAGGCAGGGGAGGCAGAGGAAGGCTCGGGGTGGAGGAGGAGACCACCGGTGTGGCCACAACTTTGCCGCTCATGGCTAAGCTCTGCATCAGGTCGTCAGAGGAGGTCACAGACTCGTTGCGAAAGCGGCCATACTTTGGCTTAAGGAGCATGCCCGGAGGAGTCGCCTGAAGCAGGAGCTGTGATGGGGGGATAACTGCCAGAGGATGAGGAGGGGAAAGGGGAAAGGGGAAAGGGGAGGGGGGGAGAGGTGTAATGGAAGCCGGGAGAAAACTAGAGAGAAAATCTTCCAGGTGAAGTCCTATATCCTTGTCAACTGAACGCTGTCTGGTCCTCTCCCGTTCACACACACGCACACACACTGTCCCACTCTCATGCCACTCTCCTCTGTGTCTGAGCTGGCCTGCTTCCTTTCACTGCCTTAGGCATGCTCACTCTATGCTCGCAGTCTCTCTCTCTCTCTCTCTTTCTCTCTCTCTGGATGATGTCATTGGGTCTATTAGCCCTGCCCTGCCCGGCTGCTCTCAGACTGTATTAGCCAAAACACATCTGCCTGAACCACCCTACTCTCAGACAAACGCACACACCCCACACTCTTAGAGGAGATTCTGCATGAATAGCCTGTGTCAATGTATAAACTGAGATATCAACAAAATAAATATACTAAGGTTAGCCTATAAATAGGATCACTCAAAGCAAAGTCAACACTCTTTTCTCTCTCTCTAGATAATAAATATTTGAATTTGTAAAGAATGTCTACTTGCTCTTTTTATGTTAATGAAGTGAGAAAACATATGAAGAATAAGCAGGCTTCCTTGGTTCCACCTAACATAAATAGGGTCTCAGTGTATTTTGTACTTTATCTGTATATTGCACTCATTTGTAAAAAGCATCTACCATAATCAGTCTCAGTAAAGGAATTTTATATATTACCTAAAAAAACTGATTGTGAATGTGAGTAAATACCAGCATGAGTCTCATTCAACAGCATTTTGTTTGTGAGTCCATGTGTGTGTGTGTGAGAGAGTGTGTAATTCCATTTGTCCTGGCAATAGACAATAACTTAACAGAGGCAACAATGCAGCTACACTCATGAGGGACTTCGTGTCTATAAACATCCACCCTATCCCATCTGCCTGAATTCTCTTCCCAACTTCCCTCACATCTGCCTCCCCAGAGAGCAATCAACCATCTCAGCATGATCCTTTTTTCTCCTCTCTCGCACCCTCCCTCATGCCTTCTCCTCATTCCCTGTTTTCTAATTCACTATTTCACATTGAATTATTACACAAAGGTAACAAAAAGTATGCAGCATCAGGATTCCCAATGTTTTCTTCTTTTTATGGTGGTCGAATTATACACACAGGTGGAAGCAAATGCAAGGTATTAAAGGTATTATCATGTCTTGAATCATCCACCATAGCCACAGAGGTTATTCAGTCTTGGAAAATAAAGAGAAACGTGACATTATATGCTAAATAAACATGTCAAGTCTTGGTGGTCAAAAACATGTGTCTGCAAATATACACAGATGTGAGCAATGTCTGCATTGATCGTGAAATAAGCCAATAGTCAGGGTCATCTGTTACGCAAAAAGAAGGTTAATCTATTGACTAAATAATACCACCTACGCAGACAAGGAAAGGATCATTAGGTTCTTGTCAATTGCTTAAATTTAATAAAGCAAGTCATTATGATTTGTTTCGTCCCATAATCAGTTTTGACAGTGTTGTCTGTCCAACTAAATGTTACAGAAGTTACACAGTAAACAATGAATATGAGCAAAATAAACTAAACTGATTCAAATATGTTCAAATTGTGCACTACCCTGACTACAAGCGTAAACTAAAAGTTATTCAGAATGGCAAGAGACGCAGGAAGCTTACCTATATGCAGGCTCTGAGGAGAAAGAGAATGAAAAAAAGATCCAGCTCAGTGAACTTTCAGTGACTTTTACAAGAGAAAAGCAATATGTTTGCCTCAGCTATCATAGTGCAAAAGAGCTGCAACTATGGTTGAATAAAAGAACAATTTAATTTCGGTAACCGAAAACTATCAGATCAAGACAAGATCACATCTCTATTTTATTCAACAAACCATGGCTAGACAACTCTTAGAAAACCCTACCATGAACAACAAACCCACTATGAACATATTATTATCTCCGAATAATTCTCCTCTGAAACCAAATAGGAGATCCAACCATTATGTTATAAGATAAAGCCTTCTTGCTCTGGTGTTGCTACAGATATATAAAAGCTTACTGATAAACCAGATGTAATCAGTGCATGTTGACAGATGTACAAGTAGCTGGCCTTTCCTCTGTATGTTCTGTTCCCTTTTCTGTCAAAAAACAAATATATATATGCTCTGGCAACATACAGAATAAAACAGATATGGATCCACTGTTCTTTCAAACCAAATTGAATGAAAGTATTTAAACAAATAGATGCAAAAGCAATAATATGAAGATGCTACAAGGTTTAATTTCCGTAAATAACAATAGGTTACTTAATTGCATCTGATGTTACACTACAGGTCCAGTCACTCAAATATACTATGATTCTCTGTATGTGAAGAGTTAACATTTACCTCCTGACTTTGGTAGTTTGCATAATACTAGTGGAACAAATCATGCTGTGAATACACCACCACTCATTAGCAGCCATTACCTTGACAACAGTGATTGCAACTAAGAACAACAACAAAGGTTACTTGCAACACAGAATCCTCAAACCATACTGTTTGGTTAAAATGTAAATACAGAGCTTATTTTTACTGTATTACAAATCATTGACTGAGAAAAGTAGGCTTATATTTGTGTAGAAAATCTCTTAAGTCAGTACAGATATCGTGATCTATCTTTATAGTTAGTGATCAAAGTCTAGTTTAGAAAATATTAAGTGGCAAGACAAATTCACCTCCAGTCCCTGCATCAAATTTAAATCTTATATCACAAAACAAAGATATAACTGAATATGTTACATTGTTTTCCATACGTTTTTAATTATTTTCTTTGCCTCAAATCAAAAACATAAATAGTAAAATGTTATTTTACTAAGACCTGCTCCAAAAAGCAATTATGATTACTACTAAATGCACATTATATTCTTTTGGGAAATCCTTTGGTCTCTTACAAGTCAATGTGGTCAGGGAAATAAATTCCCCATGCTGTTCTATCAAATAAAAGTTACAATTAACAATTCGGCAAGCAAAATTAACATAAAGTGAAGCAACTGCAGTAGCAAATAAAAAAATAGCTGGTATAAGCTGAAGAAATAACATGAAATGCTAGTTCTACCTTTATACATGCTGTATTCCATTAAGCATTTGTTTTAGATACATTTTCAACAAAATATGATTTGCAAACCCCTCTATGTATGTTTTACCCACCGACTTAAATGCTTAGGGTCGATATTTTAATCCAAAATGGTTTGTGGTAACACCGTATATATGATATGTTCTAGTATGATCGAAATTTTGCCTAAAATGATCATTTTAGTAGATGAATTTACCACCAACTGTGTGCTTTTAGCAATATTTTGCAGCAAGGGCTGGCTCCTACGTCACGACGCAGCAGACGGACGTAGTGTTCTCAAAGAAAGACCATAAACATTTTCAAAAAAAACATGACATATCTTCCGTTCAAACGCCTTGAACTAATTTGAACTATATGACACAAAAACTCAACACTTGAGAAAATACGTTAAATGTCGTGTTTTTTTTTTGTTTTTTTTAAAGACTGTACTGTATTGTTGCAAACCGCGTCTCCCCGTGTTACAGTTGTGCTTCCACGCCCGAGTGCGTCATCTTCGCAAACATAGACGACCTCCGCAGATGGAACGTCCACGTGCTGCTGCCTCGACCAATCCGGGGAGAGCGGGCAGCCGTTGGGGGTTTGAATTGTTCGGTGAAAACAGCGGCAGATGACAGCAGCTCGTTGCTAGTAACTGAAGTTTGTGAGCTAGCTACTACTTCACATTACCCCACCAAAAACTGCTTCATCTGGACTTCAGCCGTGACTGCTAACATCGACTGAAAATGTCGAAAAAACAGATTTACTATTCTGACAAGTACACCGATGAGGAGTTTGAGTACAGGTATGATTAACGTTTTTTTTTTTGGATAACATTAACGTTGTTTTCAAAAGTCCGTTATTTTGTGTTGAGTAGCGTCAGTTAGCTGAACGTCACTTTACGGAAATGTTGGTTAAGTTTGCTCGACATAACATCAACGCCTGCTGGTAGCTTCATTTAGATAGCTGTGATTTAGTATAAAGACAGTACTGAGTTAGCAAGTTAGCTATGTAGTAATTTAGCTTAGCGTTACATTGAGTTTCGTAACTAGCACTTAACAGGTAACCATGCTAACTGTTACCTAAACTGAATTAAAACCTTATGAGGACGATTAGCTAAACCGTAACGTAACCTACACTAGTAATTAGTATTGTAAATTCATTTGATAACCTAAAGTTACCTGAAATTGTCTTCCTCAACGTTAAGTTACTGCTTGTAAACTAATGTGTTTTTGTGTTATTTATCGTTCCCACAGGCATGTCGTGCTTCCGAAGCAGCTGTCCAAACTGGTGCCCACCTCCCACCTGATGACAGAGGAAGAGTGGAGGGGACTGGGGGTGCAACAGAGCCAGGGCTGGATTCACTACATGATCCACAAACCAGGTGAATAACTGTGGACTTTAGATCTTTCCTTAAAGGTCCAGTGTGTAACACTTGTATCTATTGTCAGAAATGGAGTATAATCTCGCTAGGTATGTTTTCGTTGGTGTATAATCACCTGAATGTAGGAGTCATTGTGTTTTTGTTATGTCAGATTGAGACATTTTTATCTACAGACGCTGCAGGTCGCCTTTCATGTTGAACTGCCATGTTGTTTGTTTTGCAGCCACCGTAGTTCCTCCCACAGACTTCACAGCATGTTGTCAAATACAGACGCAAGTAGTGTTCAGTTGCAGTCTGAAACTTCACTGCTAGATGCCACTAAATCCTACACACTGGTCTTTTTTAAAAACAGTGCTCACAAGCCCATATGTATATTGGAAGAGCTGTTAATCGGTGTAATCACTCTTTCTGTCCGTACTGATTGTGAAGTAGTCCTGTCTTACCATGTCTATAAGGAGGGATATAACATATGCTGAAGTCAAGATTTGATACAGTAGAATGATACTGGGTTTTTTTTTTATAACAAAATTATCACGGAAATTTCTCAGACAAAATATATTTTCTATATCAAATTTGTAACATCCTTTTGTTATTTTTGTGGTAGGGTATAAACTGCAAAACTGTGCCTATTTCCTTTGCGCCTTGATACAGT